CTGTATATAGAGAACACATACATAAACATTTGGTGAAAATCTCAAGTATTTAAAGTGATTTATTTAATTGAAAAATAATCCTCAGTTAGAAATAACTTCTCATAATTTTGCTTCATTACAAGGTAAAATATATGATGTACATTATATTTATGATGAAGTAATAACATTATATAAAAATTTTTTGTTAATTAATTGTAGAATTTAATGATTGGAAAGAGAGGGAAGAAATATGCTCATCTACTAAGTTTGTTCAACACAGAGGGATAAAATTTAATAAAACTAAAACTGTAGCTACAAGAAAGTACTATTGTCATCGTTCAGGAGTATTTCATAGTAAAAGTATGGGGAAACGTGCCTTAAAAATTACTGGATCGTGCAAAATAGGTATGTGTTATTATAACGAGGGGTAAAAATAGTTCAATCTATATCCTTAATAATAGATCAGATTATATAGATAACTTTAGACATTAAATGCTTTATTTTTCTAATTGGACTATAAGATCAATCCTGTCCTTCTTTTATTCGAGCAGTTGTCACGGATAATAGCGTTGTTGTAACTTATTGTAAGACTCATCATGGACATCAGAATGATATAAAATTTCTTCCAATTCCTTCTTCTGTTCAGGAAACAATTGCTGGTAACTGTAACATTTTATTTACATTTTAATGTAATATCTACTATTTACTCATAACTTTTCTTATACATTACCAGATAAAATTAAAAATGGAGTGCCTTCTAATGTCATTATTGATCAAATCCGTGACAACTTTGATAATACAATTGAAAAAAAAAACATCATAACTAGGAAAGATGTTTACAACATTTCCACTAAGTTTGGATAACTTCACAAGTATAAATTACACGATATTGATGCTCTGAGAGTGGATCTTCAAGTAAAAAAATTTGCCGAAAGTTCTTCAAATCCAATTATTTTTTATAAAACCCAAGGAACAGAATATCATCCATTAGACTTAAACGATTTTATGTTAATAATCCTTACTGAAGCTCAAAAAGCTGTTTTGCATAAATTTAGTAATGGAAATTTAGATTCTACACATGGCACCAATCAATACAATTTTAATTTAACTACAATTGTAGTAATTGATGAATTTGGAGAAGGATACCCAGCTGCATTTTGTATAAGCACAAAAATTGACGAAGTACATATGAAAGTATTTTTTTCAAAAATTAGGGAGGTAATTGGTTGCCTTACTCCAAATGTATTTATGAGTGATGATGCGCCAGCATTTTGGAATGCATAGGTTAACACAATGTCGCCTACTCCTCAATATCATTTGTTGTGTAAGTGGCATGTTGACAATAACTGGCGCAAGAACTTAAAAAAAATCGCTGGTTCTCAAAATATAAAAGCTTATATTTATAAAACTCTTCGTGTATTACTTGAAGAACCAAATGAAAATCTGTTTGAAGAACTTTTAACTTCTTTTCTTAATAAATTAGAAGAGGAGCCAACATTGCATAATTTTAAAACATACTTTGAGCGAACATATTTACATAGGAAAAAGTTATGGGCAGCTTGCTATCGGCATCAAATAATGCTTAATACAAATATGGTTTTAGAAGCTTTCCATAAAACTTTAAAACATGTATACTTAAAGGGGAAAAAAAATCAACGCCTTGATGTGTTACTCTGGCATTTACTAAAATCATTGTGTGATAAAAACTTYGAAAGACTAATAAAACTGTGCAATGGAGGAAAAGTTAATCACTACGTAAATGCTATTAATAGTCGTCATCGTTCTGCTGCTCATATTAATTCTTCTGGAATTCAACAAATATCAGAAATCACTTGGTCTGTAACATCTGAAACTTTAGATCAAAATTATCTTGTTAAGAGACGTGAACCATGTGCATGTAAAATTATGTGTGTTGCATGTAAAGTGTGTGTTCATTTGTTTTCTTGTACCTGTTATGATTACACAATTAAGAATAATATGTGCAAGCATGCTGTAAAAATGAATATGGTTGACGATGAAGTTGTAATTTCAACAACTGCAGATGTATGTAATCCCATGATAACTGATGAAGTATGTATGAAAATTCCAATCACTCAACAACTGACTTCGGTATCCAAGGTATCCATTGGTAACAAACTTCAAGTATTCTATTACATGTTTGTGTCACAAGCAGGCACATTAAGTCCACAACAGCTAATAAAAATCAATGCTTCTATTGATACCGGTTTAAGTATATTATATGAAGGAGAAAATAATTTAATAAAAAATGTAGAAAATCCAGAACCTGTTAATAAAAACGCAAAAAAAACAGTTGCGGTTTTATTCAACCAAAAAACAAAGGATAAAAGCACCAGAAGAACAGAGATTAAATAAACCTACACTAACAATCAAAAATCAAATAATAGATGATTTGAAAGGAAAAAACAAAACCCTCTACGTTCATACTGATTTTGACCACTCTTATACAAAATAAGATTACTAATTTAATAATTTAAACAATTTTAATTTTAGACTTCAGTGAAGAATAAT